CCACGCCACGCACGCATGCACACGCCATGCATGCAGTACACACGCACGCACGCACGTAGCCACTAAAACGCCCACCGCACGCAAGTACACACGCAAGCACGTATCGCTGCCGCGCTCATGCACGCCAAGTACGACGCACGCACGCACGCATGCACGCCGATGCACGCAAGTACGACGGCACGCACGTCACACATGAACGCCCCATGCACGCAATCACACCGCAAGCACGTACGGCATGAACGCCCATGCCGCACAGTTACCAGCGCAAGCACGTACGCATGACACGCCCCATGCACGGCAGGTACACACGCAAGCACGTACGCATGAACGCCCATGCACGCAGTACACACGCAGAGCACGTACGCATGAGCCCCATCGTCACGCAAGGTACACACGCGAGCACTACGCGATGAACCGCCCCTGCACGCAATACACAGCAAGCCACGTACGCATGCACGTCCCCATGCACGCAAGTACACACACAAGCACTAACGCACGCACGTCACGCATGCACGCCCCATTACGCAAGTACACACGCACCGCACGCACGCGACGCGTATGAACACACAGATCACGACACACACAGTCGCAGACACACGCTCACACGGTATGAGGCTGAGCAAATAAGTATCATTTTATCATTTCACACACACAGGCCGCAGTGCACGCACGACCGCATGACGCCACGCACACCACACACCACACACACACACACACAATCTCAGACGCACGTTCACACGCACGCACGCACGCACGCACGCACGTACGCCGCACGCACGCATGCACGCAGACACACACACGACACACATCACACCACACACACACACAGCACAAACACCGCACGCACGCCGCACGCACACACACACACACACACACACACACCACAACACACACACACACGCCGCGCGCGCGGACGCACACACGGTACGAGGCGAGCATAATAGTGTATTATTATCAGTTAACCGGCTCCCGTCAACGTAACAGACATCAGACAAGCGAGAATCTCTCCGCAATGCTTCTAGACGCCGCCGCATAATTATTAATTTAATCCCCTGGATGCCACAGACATCCTGCCATCTTCTCGGTTAGCAGGGGTAGTGTGCGAGCGACGGCGAGCGACGTGCGGGTCTCAGCTGCGGCGTGTGCTCGTGATAGGGGGTCGTGTGGTGTGTTGCGATCGCGCCCGCTCCACCCTCTCCCCATCCCTCCTCCTTCTCCTTTATCATACTCGCTTTTTCGCTCTCTCTAAGCTCCCTGTACGTCCCGCCTCACTTCGCTCACGCTCGCTTCTCGCGGTACCCAGGTTCCTCACGTGGATGACGGCGCGCGTTTGCTCCTGCGTTCGTTGTTTTGGTGGTTGGCGTGGGTGCGTCTGCTTTTCTTTCGCTCGCGTGGCGGGGCCGCCCGCTTTATGTCCCGCCTCTGTTTGACCGTTCCCATTATCGTTCCTGGCCCTTTACTCCCTCCGCCTTTCCTCTTCTGTCGTCGTTCATCGTCGTCGTCTGCCGCTGTCCGACTCGCCACCGTGCGCAGGATGATGATGGTCGTGACATTCGTACGGGACATGTTTCCCTGTAGTCCGATGTTGGCCGGTAGCAGGCCATGGTGGTGCATATCGAACTTAGTTAGTATCATTGTTAGGTCACGTCACATAGAAACATTCCCCGTGTAGTTCTGCGCTGTTGGCCGGCAAAGAGGCGTGGTTGGCGGTATATCGATCGGTTTCGTATAGTTAGGTAGGGTCTGCCACTGGTAACCCGCTTCTGTTAGTACGGTTTTTGGCTGGGCCAGTGGGTCGTGTGGATGCATTTATCGCTTAGTGACATGCATAGTTTGGGATGTCTACCATGGTAATATTCTCCGTGTTATTCAGGTCTTGGCCGGTAGAGACGTGGTTGCCGTATTCATTGGTTTCATGATAGCTAGGTACGTTCACCATAGAAACATTCCTCGTGTAGTTGTGCCTGTCGCCGGCCTAGAGACGTTGGTTGTCGTGACGTTCATGGTCTTCCATGATAGCTAGGTACGTTCACCATAGAAACATTTCTCGTGTAGTTGCGCTGTTGGCCGGTAGAGGCGTTTGCGGCGTTTGTGACATTATAGTTAGCTATATCCACCATAGTAACATTTTCTCTGTAGTTGGGCTGTTGGCCAGTAGAGGCGTGGTGATCGTATCCGTTGGTGACGCCATAGTTGGGTATATCAACCATCGTAACATTTCCCGTGTAGTGGCCGGAAGAGGCGTGCCGGGGGTAGGTGGCAGCACGGGCGGACCCCGAACCACCATCTAACTCGTTCCTGAGCCGAACCATCTTATCTGCGCAAAACTCTACTCCACTATGACATCATTCGCCAGGTAGCAGTAGAACTCGAAATGGCGGGCATTCTCGCGTTCCTCGCGAGGCGACTAATGGCGCCACCGTCGCCGCATCGCTGCTGTGCTATCCCAGAAATTTCCACGGCACACACCACGGCGTCGGCGGCAGAGCGATATCCGGTGAAATGCTAATCAGCCATCACGTTACAATAACATAAATAGTTATTACGTATGATTTCCGTTATCCTGAAGTTTTGTGCATCACGTAGCAGTCACAGTATAACACAGTGTAAAGCAGTGTATAACAGTGTATAGCAGTGTATAGCAGTGTATAGCAGTGTATAGCAGTGTATAGCAGTGTATAGCAGTAGAGTAGTGGATAACACACGAACACAGGTGTCCAGATATTGTCTGCGTAATTACGTCACAGTCGTCTGGATATTGATTACATAAACACACTTATCCGGAGATTATTTACATCACGGCACAAGCATTCAGAAGTTGCTTATAATTAAACTTTAGTGTCGTTTACGCCTCAAACGCTTCCTGTTTTGCACTATTTTGCTTGCTGCTTGCACGTTTTTTACACCCCACACACGTCACACACTCGCATTCAGCCGTCGTGTGGTCGTGTGTGTTAGTGTGTGTGTGTGTGTGTGTGTTGTGTGTGTGTGTGGTGTATATGTTGTGTGTGTTGTCGTGCATGGTGTGTGTGTGCGTGTGATGTTGTGCGTGTGCGTGGTGGTGCGTGCTGCGTGCGTGTATGTTGTGCGTGCGTGCGGCGTGTGTGTGTGTTGTGCCGTGCGCGTAGCGTGCGTGCCTGTAGTGCCGGTGCGTGCTGCGTGCGTGGTGTGTGTGTGGTGTATACCTGTACGTATATCTCGTCACGCAGAGCTTCGTTCATGAGCCCCTTCTGAACGATGTAGTCAGCCAGCAGCTTCTCCTTCCTGTCAGTCAGTGTGACGTCATTCATAAACCTGAGAATCTGAGGAAGAAACAGCGGCAACGATGATAATTACAATTATTCACTGATAATAACAATGCAGATGAGGGTGATGACAATGATAATGATAATGATGATGATGATGATGATGCGGGGGTAATGACGACTACGATGGGTGATGAGATGACGACGACGACATCCTGATATGATAATATGATGGGACTATGTTTGTTGTTGTTGTTGTTGTTGTGCTGCTCCGATAGTGACGAGAACGAGATAACGACGGACGACGACGACGACGACACGACGACGACGCACGACGACGATATGATGATGCTTGATGATGGTCGACTATTGTTGTCTGTTGTTGTTGTTGTTGTTGTTGTAGCTGCTGTGTCTGCTGCCTGATAATGATACTGGCTGCTGCTGCTCATAGCGATATGAGGATGATGAGATAATCGACGACAGCGAATGACGACGTGATGATGATGCATTACGCCTGAGGGAGGTAGTTCGACTGGCGGGCGTATGGAAGAATCATCGATGGATCATCATGTGTATCAGCACAGAGCGCAGCTGGTGGAGTATGGCTAGTCTCCATCATGTGCTAGTCTGTACATCTCCGCATCAACTATTACTGATCTGTATACCTCAGTTATTACAGGGTCTAATATACACCTGCTTGTGGGATATTACGGAGTATCTGTGTACAGTCATTAAGGTCATTATCATTATCATTAGCACAGCTCTTACTGTTATTATTGGATGGATTAGGTCTATACACATGGAAATGAGAATGTATCATTGTTTCAAAAGCACGAATTTTGGTCAATTTTCCGGCAGTGTGTACGATAGGGATTATACTTCACTTTGAGCATGGAATGTACTACTGGATCTGAATAGGCATTTAAGCGCAAGCGCGTTTCCATGCGAACTCGTTTTCATCGCCTCAAACGCATGAAACCTGCTCGCGAACTTTCGTTGTCCATTTTTTTGCTCTCTCTCTCTTCTCTCTCAGTCTCTGCTCTCGTCGGTTCTCTCTCTCTCTCTCTCTCGGTCCGGTAACGCCGTTAGTCCGCTATGAACCCAAGACGTGTTTTTCTCCACGTAACTCATGATTAATAATTTAATATCATCGTAGTCACGCGTTCAATCAATAGACATGACGTCATCATTAAAACGCATAGCGAACATAAACTATATGGAGAAGAGGAAGAGGGAGGGAGGGAGGAAAAAGAAGGATAGATATATAAGGGAGGGAAAGAAGCGGGAAAGAGGGAGAGAGAGCGAAAGGGAGAGGGAGCGGAAGAAGGGTAATATAGAAGAGTGAAAGGAGAGAGAGATGGAGAGAGAGGAGAGAGAGAGGAGTAGAGCGAGAGCGAGTGAGTGATGCGAGATAGACGGGCAGTAACGAAAAGGGAAGAGAGAAAGAAAGAGAGAAGGAAAGAGAAAGAGAGAGAATGGGGAGAGTGTGCGAGGGAAGAAGGAGGGAAGGAGAGAGAAAGAAAGAGAGGAGAGAGAGAGAGAGAGGAGAGAGAGAGAGAGAAGCAGAGAGCGGAGAGAGAGAGAGAGAGAGAGAGAGAGAGAGGAGAGCGAGAGATGAGAGAGAGAGAGCGATGAGAGCAGAGAGAGTAGAGAAGAGAGAGAGCAGAGAGTAATGTAAACCACGCATCACAGTTTTGAATATCATCAGTGATATCCTGGTAGTCGACCATCGACTGCTTCGGAAAGGCAATGGCGCTGTATCGGGTACTCGAACGCATGCGAAACTGCGCTGCCCCTTAGAAACGACAGAACATTCAAGCTCAGAGGAACAGGCAGTGCTTAAATCCAGGCACCACCGCCCGACAGCTGGCCGGCACAGCGCAGCGACCGCATAGTAAATTGCGACAGCACGCCATCGTGCGATGATGTCATGCCAGAATGGGCGACAGTGGCAAGCTAATAGTATCGGTGACAGTGTCATGCTGCTAGCGTACTCGACCAGGGTATCACGTATTTTATCGATTGTTACAGGTGTGTGAAACATCCTGTATTAAACGCGTAAATGTTGCAGACGTATAAAATTCTTTCGCTACACACTTACACTGGCTGGGGGTATAAACACGGAACGTATTACAGCTCTTGTATTGCGATAATACCAACATGTAGCTAAAAGTCGTAATGTGAATAAATTATAGTGTTGAGGCGGTGGGTCGGAGCACGATTATGAGAGCAACAATAGACGGCCACAGTCACATTGGAACGTCTTTTCAATAAAATATTAATGCTAAAATAATACGGAATGTAATCTAGTATAAAAATTCTTAATGTTTCTATACTCCACTCTTTCACCATGTATTGCCGAGTTTCCTGTAATATTCCCGTGTAATGGCCGGCGGCTTAGTGATAAGCATAGAGGCACTTACAGCGAATTTACGGGAACTGTCGGCCATAATTGGGTGATAAACGACAGTATAAGAAACATTAAGAAATTTATGTAGTATTCGTATTAAATTTGCGTTATTTTTAAGCATTATATTTTACTATGAAACTCTTTCAAAGTGCTTGTGCATAGAGCATCGGAAGCAGCAGCATATGCACACAGGTGATAAGCACTAGTATTCATTAATACAGATATCTCATAGCGTAAGCTACGAACGCAAACATACGTAATGGTGACAGCAGCAAGCTATGTTCTTTTGGTCACTATGATGAAATGACTCCCGTGTCGTGCACAGGGAGTGAGAGAAGGATAGATACGAGAGAATGAAAGCGAAAGAGAGAGAGGGGAGAGAATAGAGAAGAATTAGAGAGAGAGAGAGAGAAGAGAGAGAGAGAGAGAGAGAGAGAGAGAGAAGAGAGAGAGAGAGTGAGGAGGAGAGCGAGATTAGATAGAGAGATAGATAATATGAGAGATAGATGATATGAGAGATAGATAGATAAGAGAGGAGAGAGAGAGAGAGAAGAGAGAGGAGAGATGAGACGAGAGAAGAGAGAGAGAGAGAGGAGTAGATGATATAGATATTAGACAGATAGATAGATAGAAAAAGAGAGATAAATAGATGCGAGAGATAGAGATAGAGAGAGAGAAAGAAGAAAGATAGATAGATATAGAACTAGATAATAGATAGATAGATAGATAGATAGATGATAGAATTAGATAGATAGAATAGATAGAGACGAGATAGAGATAGAGAATAGAGGAGAGAAAGAGAGAGAAGAGAGAGAGAGAGAGAGAGAGAGAGAGAGAGAGAGAGAAAGAGAGAGAAAGAAGAGAGCGAAGGAAAGAGAAGAGAGAGAAGAGTGAGGAGAAGCTGAACCCTGTTGATAGCGAGTCGCAGAAAGCACCAGAAAGCAAGCGCTATCCGGAACCAAATCTTATTCCCCACAGAAAGTATCTCAGGCACGATCAGTGATGGCACGACCCCTAACCTGTATTACGAAGCTGAATGGGTAAAACATAGAGGTATTTGCGTCACGGTAAATAATAGGTATCCGCCACAATGGGTAAACGTAAGCATGTAGTAAATTATTTCCGTATAAGTATTGGCATAAGTTTTGCTGTTCTTGCGCATGCGTTAATATCCCGGTGTATTAGGCGATGATGACAGCGTCCCTGTGGCAGCAGAGCCGCGTATGAACGCCGGAGGGGAGAACACGTCGCTAACTTATTGATAGTCGTTGTGGCCAGCATTCCTGCGCCATAGCGTGGCAGAAGGATCAAGCAACGCAAGCTCGCTGTCAGGTAGTCTCGGTAGATAGACGTTCTCCACGATTCGGCGCCCGCGTAAGTATTTACCCCCGCCCGCTCAACCATCTCCTGCCGCGCGCGGAACAGCGCCGGAACAGCAGCAGCCAGAGCGGAATATCGGTCGGGCATTGTCGCCACGTATACGCACATCGTACAGAATAATGGCGCGGCCAGACTTCTAATCACATAAGCGCGATGTGGCGCGCGCCGTTTTTGTCGCGCCAGCAAGTGACGTCACGCTCGGTTAGCGCTGACGTCATCGTCGCCTGTCGTCGACCGCTAATAAATTGTCGAATTCCGGCGGTAGGATGGCACAATGGGTGCGATCAGAAGTATTACAGATTAGCCGGCGATTCGTTGTTGGCACTCAGCGGCCAGAGGTCAAGAGTCAAGATGGACACACGGGAGAAAAATTTCTTAGGTTAAACTATCTTAGATCTCTCCTCGACGCTAGCAGGCGGCACAACCGAGAGAGTCTGAATGCAATTAACAAGGCAAATAGTTTTCACGCATTTAAGGTGCACCAGCGAACGCGTGAGATAGAGGGAGTGATATGCAAAGAAGGGACAACAGACAGATAGAGCGAAAGAGAGAAGAGAGAGGGAGAGAGAGAGAGATGGAGAGAGAAGAAGAGAGAGAAGAGTGGGGAACGGAAAAGAACGTCACTGAAAAGTAGAAGTGTTAAAAACGGTTATTTATGTATGCATCGACGCTCAGCGTGTTTGGGAAGAGCGCTCGGTATTGAGATGGCGGTCACAGCAATGCTAGCAGAGTGAACGTGAATGAAGGAAGGTTTATACGCATCACACAACACACGCGCGCACACAATGACGCTCGTTGTCTGGGCTCAGCTTTTATGGAAAGAGAGATGAGAGAGAGAGAGAGAGGGCGGGACGAGAGAGAGAGAGAGAGAGAGAGAGAGAGAGAGAGAAAGAGAGATGAG